ACCAGGAGACAAGCAAATTGCATCATGGGCTGTGTATCAGATAAACGGGATACATCTTCACCATCTATGTATAGAGCATACATGCTTTCTAGCATAACATTTCTCTAGAGTATTCTGCTGGTAGATATATATATATATACAGTATATGTATATAGGGGTTGTTGCTTCAAAAATGTTGCCAATACAGTAAATTATGTACTTTCAAATTATGTAAGAATGTCCAAGTTTCTGATCCAGAATTCTATACAAGTCAATTTGTTGAAAACTATCTTCAATTGTAGCCAAGGCTTTAACAACTCAGTTTAGCTCACAAATTAAAATTTTGGAGAAACCTTTCCTCACAAGCCATTGTAAGAGAAAAACATCTGAGATCAGATTACTTCTTAGAGCATTTGAATCTGGTGATCATATGTGAAAGCTCATATCTCCCTGTAAAAAATGGTCCTTGATTATTTAAAATACTTGATGGCACTGTTGCCTATACAGCAGGTTGATATACAGAGCATGCAACTTATTACCTGGTTATCTGTGTATCAACTCACTGTGATGAGATACATCTGAAACTCTTTTTATTACCAACCTGGGTGGATAATATTTCAGAAGGCATATCTAGGATATGATGAAATCTTACTTTGCATGCATTACATCTATTTTCATCCCATCAAATTTCCCAACCAAAGGAATCAAGAGCCTCCTGGCAACATTTCTGAATTATCAAACCTTGTATCTACATGTAGCCTATGAAACCATAGGCTACATGTAGATTATGAGGTTATGCATAATGCATTCAACTCAAAGACTCACTCATGGCACATCATGAGGAAGACTGATGTTGTTGTCCTTGAACTTACTCAAGCCACCCTAGAATTGCACAGGATGACCAGCAAGTCATTTGAGATGTACATGAGTATTCTTGCTTCAATTGTTATTGCTTCCTTTCACAAGGAATATGGAAGAGAAGTATTTTAGGCAACTGCTCTATACAAACATTCAGTTTGTGTGATATAACCTGATCCTGATATTCTATTCTTCTGCAGTATTTTCAGTTGATTCTGTATCAAATGTGGGTCTGAATTATTTTTGTGCTTAGCTTCATCAAAGATCTTGATTGCTAATTGAAACCTTGGAGAAGAGGCAAATTGCTTCATTAAAATTAGGTGTCTGCCTTTGGATTGTTGAGTGAATTCAAGCAGTGCAGAAATTAATTTTAAAACATATTGCTATCACAAATAGTAAAAACAATTCATGTTTCTGATTCTGTGCTCATACCTTTTGCAAGGTAATTCTGTCAGTATCTTAGATCTGCAAAAATCAATGGGTGGAATGAGGAAAATATTTCTTCCATGCATATGCTGTGAGAATACTTGTAACTTGCCTGGTTAAATATGCTGCTCCAATGTTCCTTATGCAAATTGTGTGCCTTGCTGATACTGCTTCAAATCTGAACAATAAAGGGCTTCTTCTTTGGGATACTTGGATCTAAAATTGGATGACCAAGCATCAATGACCAGCTGGAATCATACTGAACTTCTTTGTATTTTCTTGGTCCAAACAGAAATGAGTTGCATTTGAAGTCTGTTGAAGGTATATTTAAAAATTCATTAAAAAAATACATACAGTGTGCCAGGAAGCTTACAGAATTCCTGTGTTTAACTCTTCCTGGAGGACATCAAATATAATCAAGGTGAGTTTTGATGCCCTCTGCCTCAAAGTATAAATTATTGCACAAATTTTTAAAAAATGTTACCCTGAACCTTCTTTCAAAATATCCTCTTCTAAAATTCAATTGAGGATTTTTCCTGAAGATCAATATTCATGCAAATGCAGACAAATGCTTTCTTAGCAAGCATACTTTTTGCAATTTTGAAGTTTTTAGTTGAATAGAATTTTGCATACAATTTTTGATCACAGGGCATTTAGAAATTGTCCAATACTTTTGTAAATTCCATCATCAGCATATATTCTAAGCTTACAAAATTTTTCACAATTTGAAACTATGCATCTACTGTAACAATAATTAATTTCCTTTTTGGGAGCACATTGTCAACTTTTGGATCTTGAGCATTGGAAGCACTTGAAAAACTTTTACTTTCAGTTGTTCTTCATAGACAAATGAGGGGAAAAAATTATGTAAAGTTTTAACATTTGTGGGACCTAAGAAGACCTAGCTAACATCTACTGCTGTCATTTTGAAGGTGGTTTGTGGCTAAACCTACCAGAAGCAGCCAAGCAGGAACATTTTGAAAATTAAAACCCAGGGAGTTGAAAAAATTTTAGCTTTTGTGCCTCATTGAATTCAGTCCATTTGTTGTGAGTGAATCTGTAGAAAACTCTGGGAAAATGTCTGAACAGCAACCACATTCCTTGAAATGTTAATCATACTTCCCTGCTTAAAAAATCTGAAAATGCCAATGAAACTGTTTCTGGTGGGTCATTTTTCAGTTGATTACAGAAAAGGAACATGGCCCAAAGGAATGGCTTCCCTCTGGCTGTTGCTGCCTACAGGGATCAAATGAAATCCTGGCCAACAAGGGGCAAACACATCCTGGCTAACTTTGATGATGACTCAATAATTGTCTACCAGGCATACAATGACAAGATAGCAGATGCTGCCCTGAAGGCCAACAATTTTCATGCAGATCAAGTGCTCAATGCTGGTTACAGCATGCAGAGAATGTCATGGATCAAGACCAACTTCCTGTGGATGATGTACAGAGCTGGCTGGGCATCCAAGGTGAGCCAAACCAGGATTCTGGGAATCAAAATCACCAGAGCAGGTTTTGAGGAGATCCTAGTGAATGCAAAGACCAAGGGACAAGGTGATGTAAGATTGCAGTGGGATCCTGATCACACACCATCAGGAGAAAAGGTGCCTGACAGAAGAGCAGTGCAACTGGGGCTCAGAAATGACATGTTGCAGAAATTCTCCAGGGAACACATTCTGTCAATTTTTGACATGACAGACTTTGTGAAGGAACAAGCGAAAAATGTTTCTGAGTCTTGTGCTTCACTTCTGATCCCCCTGGAAAAGGTTTATGAGTGCAAGGAGAAGAGGGCATCTGAGAACCTTGGTGTGGATGAATTGACTAGTTAACTTGTGATGCTGATACCAATAAAATCTATCAATTCACTCAATTGAGCAATTCTTGTGTCTTGGTTCATACATACAAGCTCATTTTAATAAGAAACATTGGATCTGAAACATTGCCATTGCAACACTTCCATCATCCCATAAGCAAGGCACACATGCATTAATCCAATTATAAAAAAATTTCTACTTTGATTTAGATTTTGCCAGAGAATATTCAATAAAGGGTTTGAAATTGTTTCTTCTGTTGTTTGTTGTTTCTTGTACAGTATTACAACAATGTTGTTCCAATAACAGATTAAATTGAATTTTAAACTCCCTTGAGACTGTCATCAGGTGACACTGCATGCTGTCATTCAGTCTTCTGTTGAGGCTAGAAGTTATTCAAATCCATGGTACTTGCTGCATCATTGTGCTCAAGCTCTTGAGATAAGTTTAGTGCTGCACTCATGAAGCCCAATATTTTTTAGTTTGTAATGTATACTAAATAAGAATTTGTGATGTTCAGTTCCAGGAACCTTTGCGCAAGATAAGCAACATGATATCTCAGTAGAGCATTTCAGGACTCCTCTCCCTTCACATGATGCTAATCTAAGTTACTCATATGACGCCTCAATTGAAAAACGAACAGACATTCATAGCCACAGTAAAAAATAAATCAGGACAGAATAATATAGCAGACATGTGACTACAGTACAGTAGTACATTTTGGTAACACTGATATGCAGGGCAACAGAGGAAATGTGTTGCATGCAGTGGATTAATCCCCAGATTTGAACACACCACTGCATGCATGCACAGACTTTTCTAGCTGGACAACCCTGAGTATAAGTACAGTATTTACCTTTTACTTACTCACGAGGTTGCAAAATATAATTAAAAGTAAAGTTTTGATTACTTCAGCCATTACAGCAGGCCCTATCACAAAACAACACACTGTATTCATTTCTGGATGTAGCAATAATAGCACAATATTTGAAACGTGAAATGCACATTATAGTTATAGTTGTCTCGCAAGTCTTGCAGAATCGCTCGAACTTGGAAACAAAAACCTTCGAATCAACTACTGAACTAGAATTTTAGTATTTGATTCATTTTCGAACTACGCGAGGAAAACTGAATTATGGCCAGAATGATAACAGAAGTTATTTCGTCCACATAGTTGTAGCTATGGCCATGTAGGAAAGCAGAATGGTTCACATACGAGAGCTGAGAAGTTAACTTGAACCACCACGTTTCAGGAACTACATATGCGGGAAAGCTGCCAAGACGATTTTCCTTGATGGTCAAGGATTCTCTTTCTTTTTCGTTTAGAACATTGGTCAAAATTAAGTCTACTCAATTCCGAATATTAGAACAAGCCTAATAAAAAGCCAATAACATCCATCCATCAGAATGAAATTTTCTCGAGAGGAATTGATAGAAGCTGATATGGCAGAAATCTAAATCCACGGTTCAAACTCGTAAGTTACTTGATCGGGATACTTCCCACGCGCCCACTTCTGCTAGTACAGTCTCCTATTGTAAAATTACGTAGCATCACGGGATGCTTCAACAGTATTTTGGTAATCATGAACCTACAGGCACCTCTAACTTGCTTCAGCAAAGACCGAGAATTCCAACGGACAACTCTTGGGTTTCACTTTTTCGATTAAATCGACCGCTATTCAAAGACTTCCGTACTATCGATGAACCTGTACTCACGTGAGGGGAACGGTGATGACCAACTGTAAGAGATCTCATCGAAGCTGTGAAGCGATATCTGATCTCGTTCACTTCCTCAAACGAACACACACTAACGTTAGTACACGGTATCGCACAAATCTTCGCTCAGAGTTCGAACCAATATTATAATCTAAGAGAAGCATTGAAATAGAGCTACGGCGTATGATAAAATGAAACAAACCGCACGTTTACCGACAATCAGGCCATCTTCATTCAGAACCACTCTCGCACAACAGCGTCCATTCCACTCCCATTCACTCAACTGAGCTCAAGCTCTCAATGGAAACGATTAAAACGAACAGGCCGATTGGAAAAAAACCAAGATCAATCGCAAGTCTAATCCCCGCATTTAATCGACCTCCTCCATGCGAGACGCATCATCAGCGCCCTCCAGAGTTGGCATTTCCGCAGCGGCGCCAGTGTCACCGGACCCATCTTCGCCATCGTCTTCAATACCCAAACCAAGCTTCACCATGCGATGAATGCGATTAGCATGCAACCCAGGATCTTCAAGGCTGAAGCCAGACGACAGCAACGCAGTCTCGTACAACAGCGTCACCAAATCCTTGACGGACCTGTCGTTCTTGTCAGCTTCCGCTTTGATCCTCAAGCTCTCCATGATGGGGTGCTCGGGGTTGATTTCCAGATGCTTCTTGGCCGCCATGTAACCCATGGTGGATGTGTCCCTCAAAGCTTGGGCCTGAAAATAGAATATTCGGATTTTAGCTACACTCGAAATAAACTGTCCACCGAAACGAATATTCGTTATCAGGGGAACGAATGGAAGAATATTCGAAATGGCGAATTTCTGTAACTCGAACAGTTCAGCTTAGTCGACAAGATCAGGAATTCACGGTTTTTCTGAATATACGTTTCAATTACTTTTCCAACAACTTACAATACACTAATAGTTAATGGCATTTTAATTAGACTACCTACAGATCGAAATTCTGCTTCCAATCACAGTTAGTAAGAAAATCCAAATTCGATCAATAAAACCCATCTCACCTTCATGATTCGCTCCATGTTAGCAGACCAACCGTACTGCGAGGTGACAATGCAGCAAGGAGACTGAACCAGACGATTGGAAACGGTGACTTTCTCGACCTGCAAGAACAAAGAACCCGAAAATTTAGTACCGATCGATCACAAGGCTTGAGCATCAGAAACATACCTTCTTCTCCAGCATATCCTTCATGATCTTGCATAGAGGCTCAAACTTCTCTTTTTCAGCTTCGAACTTTTTCTTCTCTTCCTCATCCTCTGGGAGCTCCAAACCTTCCTTGCACACAGAAACCAACTTCTTCCCGTCGTATTCCTTCAGCTGCTGCACGCAGTACTCGTCAATCGGCTCGGTCATGTAGATAACCTGAATAAAACAATTCCCTCGTAACCCGTCTTCAGAAACATTTCGATGTATGTCAGATCATACCTCATATCCTCGCTTCTTGACACGCTCAACGAAGGCGGAGTTGGAAACCTGATCCTTGTTTTCACCAGTGATGAAGTAGATGTCCTTCTGGTTTTCCTTCATCCTAGAAACGTAGTCCTTCAAAGACGAAGTCTCTTCGCCAGAGGCAGAAGTCGGATAACGAAGGAGATCAGCCAGCTTCTTCCTGTTGGTCGTGTCTTCATGGATACCCAGCTTGAGGTTCTTTCCGAACTGCTCGTAGAACTTCTTGAAATCTTCTTGGTTCTCGGCGATTTCCTCGAAGAGTTCAATGCATTTCTTCACCAGGTTCTTGCGGATGACCTTCAGGATCTTAGATTGCTGCAACGTTTCTCGAGAGATGTTCAGTGGCAAGTCTTCGGAATCGACAACACCCTTGACGAAGTTCAGGTACTCGGGGATCAGTTCCTCGCAGTTCTCCATGATGAACACACGTCGTACATAAAGCTTGATGCTGTTCTTGGTCTTGCGGTTTTCAAACAGGTCAAAAGGAGCCCGGCGCGGGATATACAACAAGGCACGGAACTCCAATTGCCCCTCAACGCTGAAATGTTTTACTGCCAAATGCTCTTCCCAATCGTTGGTCAAGGACTTGTAGAACTCGCCGTATTCCTCCTGAGTGATGTCATCGGGGTTGCGGGTCCAGATCGGCTTGGTCTTATTGAGCTCCTCATCATCGATGTACTTCTCCTTGATGGTCTTCTTGCGCTTCTTGGCCTTATCCTTCTTGTCTTCGTCATCGTCCTCGCCGACATCCTCGACTTCGGGTGTGTCTTTAGCCTCTTCTTCTGGCTTGTCTTTCTCTTCCTCCTCAGCTTCGTCGTCGGAGATTTCCTTGTCCCTCTCGCGCTCTACGATCAACCTAAGAAATTTTCAAAGTGGTACGTTAATTACAGTTCCGGTAAATCCACACCTAGAAATGCCAACTAGGAATTGCGAACTTCATCAGTTTTAGCAAACGGATATGGCACACAAGCATATCGATTAATACTATTATTCCCTCCATTCGATCTAGTTGAAAAAAAAAAAATTAATTTAGAACAACTAAAAAAAAGGGAATCGGAAGTCTGGACCAAAAATTACCATCAATAATTTAAATTAGTCACGGCAATCAGCGACGTAGGCGCAAAATAAAAATAACACATCACAGATTGAGATGAAGCTATCGTGGAGTGAAATCGGATACTTCTCAGGACTAATGTGAAAAGAAACTTGAACAAGAAACCTTAACATACTTGATGGGATATCCGATGAACTGCGAATGCTTCTTGACAACATCCTTGATTCTACGCTCCTCCAGAAACTCGATCTGATCTTCCTTCATGTGCAGGATGATCTTCGTTCCTCGGCCAAGCGGTTCGCCGGGGTCGGGACGAACGGTGAAAGAACCACCAGCAGAAGATTCCCAGAGGTACTGATCGTCATCGTTGTGCTTAGAAGACACAGTGACACGATCAGCTACCAGGTAGGCGGAGTAGAAGCCCACACCGAATTGACCGATCATAGAGATGTCAGCTCCGGCTTGAAGAGCTTCCATGAAGGCCTTGGTTCCAGAACGCGCGATGGTTCCCAAGTTGTTGACGAGATCCGCCTTCGTCATGCCGATTCCACTGCAGGAAAAGATGAATCATTGCAACGGTAATCCTCATTATCGAGAGGGACACATCATCGATATAAAGCTATCCTTATAGAAATCGAATACAGTAGTACTTCAGACCGATTAATACACCTGAGGACTAATACTTTCGACCAGGATGGGTAAGAAAGTTTATCAAAACCTCGGTGCACCATTATGCAATACGTCGTCGGTGTCACGATACATACGGAAACAACTATCGTTATAGGATACCAAATTCTTTTCACAATTGAATGTCACGTGGGAATAGACAAGAACGTTCATCAGAAACACCGCTCGGTGATGAACTTACAGAGCTTCAAGTTCTAACGAAAGCTAGGAAATCTGACTCACGTATCAATAAGAGTGAGGGTCTTCTCATCCTTATTTGGGATGATCTTCACCATCAACTCCTTGCCCGACTCCAACTTGGAAGGATCCGTAAGGGCTTCGTACCGGATCTTATCCAGAGCATCAGAGGAATTTGAGATCAATTCTCGCAAGAAGATTTCCTTGTTCGAATAGAAAGTGTTGATGATGAGGGACATCAGTTGGGCGATCTCAGCCTGGAAGGCGAAAGTCTCCGTGTCCACCTCCATCGGGGCGTCGCTGATTTCAGGCATCTTTGAACACTGCAGAACAATCGATAATTGATATTACACTGATACTCGGATAACTCCGGAGACAAATTCCTCACCTTCCAGTGAACAACACAATACACAGGGTCGAATCTCAGAAGCAGCACAAATTCGCTCCAACGTTCGAGGATAAATTTCGGAGTAAACTACCACTGGTAGAACTGGCGCAGGGTTATATAGACTCGGGCTGGTGGGGATGAGAGGGGAAACCGTTGAAAGTTCTCGAATGTTCTGGACAAGCCGGGAACTGGTTCTCCCTCGCCAGCATTGCAGGTTACTAGAAGCCGGGCTTGCCGGCTCACAGCAGCGCCCTCTCCTGCAGCTCCAGAACAATCTCGAATGTTCTAGAATCTAGTAGTTGTCAAACCTGTCCAGTCATCGACCCCTCATTACTCTGAAGAATCATACGAATGACCGGAAGTTATGCGAGAAATCGGATCAAATTTGTCAAAAAATGATGTAATTTTATGATTACGGATTATTTTTACGTGAAAAACGTTGATTCATAGATTCATACATGATCCATGTTCTATAATGGCCCTCCGTCTTGAACCGGGTAGCAGGTTTGAAGACCCCGGGCTCATGTATGCCCAAGTACACAGTGAGTTGAAGTAAACGCGTTTCGATTTGAAGGATGAGACAGTTGAAGCTAAGGCGTTTCGATTTTGGTTTTCCTAAGCATTTAATTTGAGAATTCCAGTGCGAATATTTATTTGCATGTGATGCATGAGGATGACTGGAAGAGGGTTTATTTATGTCTGGTTTTACAGTATATTCATGTTTAGAGAAGCACGAACAAGAGGCAGCATGCCAAAGCATATATGTCATTGTAGGAAAAGAACCTTGGTACAAGCAGGATTTCGGAATTTAAAACCGTGTTTCTCTAAAAAATTATCTTGTTCTGGTACATACAGTACATACTGTAGAAATTTTCCTCTCGATTTGTGAAAAACAAATTTAGATACAGTATTTACTTTATGTACATCTTACTCCTCTGTACTATACTGTTGGTAAAGAGAGAACTTCCTTTATGGTAACACAGAAAAGGTAACACATTCTCTCACACGATTTCAGAACCGGTCAGCCACAAAAAAAATACAGCATAGTACCAAGCCAAAGAATCAAATAGTTTTGGGAATTTGGTGGAATTTTAAATTTTTTTGAAAGTACTGTACTACAGTAATACATAATATACCGTGTTCTGTATAAGATTACTGCATGATGTGCGTTCCCGCGCGGATATGCTTGTTAGGAAATGTACGGCATCCTATTGTTGCATTCTTGTACTTTCATACGTATGTTTCCTAGAATGAATATAGATGTCGCTACAGTAACGTATCGGGTAGTACATATTGTAACGAATGCAGATGCGTACGTCACCGGTTTTCAATGTACAGTACAGTATAATTACAGCATTATACATTAGTAAAATCTTCTCACTAGGATTTTATAAGCATTTATCCTTTGATTAGAAAATCCAGGAAAACGAAATTATCATGCAAAGAAAAATGTAATCCCTTTCTTGTTGAACATAAATTTAATTACAACTTTTATTCTTATATAACTTTCAATCCACAGCAGCCATGACCTTCTGATGAATTTTAGATACAATAAGTAAAGTTTACGATATACTGTACCGTATATGATGCGAATTATGTAACTGCTTATAGTGAATTTATTGATACAGTATCTCCAATTCAAAATTCAGTTCAGAATTTCAAAATACTACATGTTTACTCTTTAGCCTAGCTCATGGGAATTGGGAGATGATGCTAACTGGTTCATATGATAATTGCTGCAGCAACTTCACATAATTTGGACTTGTATATTCTTTACTTCAATTCAAAAAAGACCTTTCCTTATTGCTATGTCTCATGTGATGCAGCAGTCATCCCAATCCAATATACTGTTTGATGTCCTCATCTCAACAGATTTGAAATACATTTTTCAAAGTTTTACAGATTTTCATCCCTCAGAACAATGCTATAAATGCATACCAATTTTTCAGGAGGTGAAATGAACAGAAAATTTTTTCAAGCATCTTTCCTTGCTGGCAGCTAAATTTTTTTTCTGCTGGATTGTAACAATTCCAGTCCTTTTCTTTGGGGGGGGGGGGNGGGGGTGGGGGCTGGGGGGGGGGGGGGGGGGGGGGGGGGGGGGGGGTGCTACATAATCAAAGTTCGCCTACTCAACCCAAAAATTGTATGTAAAGCTGGGTCCCTGCTTTTAGGATTTGAATACACAGAGCATCATAATCACCTCCATGTACATCATAGATTCCCTACAGTGATTTTAATAACAATTTTTCAGTCCCATACAGTAAGGTTTCTTATGTACACCCATCTTACCTGTATAGGGGTCCTCTCAGAAGAAAATATTTTCTAGACCCTTGAATTTTCTTGTAGGCAGAGAGTCAACCAGAGTAAAGTATAAATACTGTATATACATACATATACAGTATATATATATATTTATATATATTATATCTGTATATATCAATGTACTTTATACACCCATTTATTTGAGACAAAAGATCCCCTTTCCTCATCCAAGTTCATCCTTTTGTCAATTCATTTACCCAGCAGCACTTCAGGACACAGAAGAACATTGATTTTATTTTCTTGCAATTATTCCTGCTTATCAAAAGTGATGATTTCCCTCAATTCAAAAATTCCCCAAGGCAAACTTTTTTGTGGATTCCTCACATTTTGTGATTCCTCACTTTGAAGAGGTTAAACTGTATATAAACACATTTAATAGTATATTCCTTGTCTTCAGTATACTGTACTTTATTTATGTCCTACATTGGCCTGTAATACTGCATGCATGCATCAGCAGTTGCCAGTGAGGCATGCAAAACCTCAGAGATTTACATTTCTAGGTAAGTGACTTTGATCTGAATTAAATAGGACCGATTAACAAGACCATGCTGGCAATTTTTGGTTCTGTTGTGGAATGAACAATGACCCGGACTTGTTATTCTTCCCTTCACGTACGCTTCAAAAGGACTGACCCGCGTGTTTATATTTTGTATATACTTGACAATTCCCCCCCCCCTTTTTTGGGGACAGTCGCGAATCGTGTCATTTCCTTATCCGCGGTCCTCCAACAGCACACAATAACTCTTTTCTTTTCCTCAATCAACACAAACCGAGTTCACTTTGTAATATGCGAATTTTGAAACAAACTTTGGAAATATATGGATTCTGAGAAGAGTAAGAATAAGCGAAAATATAGGAACACGTTTGGACGAAAGATTTTGTTGTTGTCTTTTTTTTTCTTTCTTTCTTTCTAGAAAACAATAACTCATTCTTCAAAAGCAATTTATAGACAGTGTTTTCAATGAGTCTCGAACAAGCAATCACTCAATCAATCAATCAGTCGCAGGATCACTTCGTCGCAATGTCCCTGAAAATATTTCTTTGAACCGGTGCAGTTTCCGAAGTCAGCCGCTGGGCGTCACTCCTAGTATCATGCGAGGCGGAATTCTATGAGGATGATGAAACACGCCAAAATCTGCCCAAAAATCTGGGAACAATCAAATAAAATACTGTTTTGTAAAACAAAATTTGGAAAATGATAGTATTCAACACAATAACGAATTTTGTAGAAAGGATATTCCGAAACACATGGCTCCATATTAAAAAAGTAAGATAATAATAAAACATGAAAAGGACTATTTATTTTTGGAGAAGTGGTCTACAGCAGCTTATTTATCATGTAAAACCCGTGACATGAATGAATGGATCACCTTCCTATAGCGAATTTGGTAGACATATGCTGAATTTTCTGCATTGAGAATAAAACAAGGCAGACCCATTTTAAGACTACTATAATTTTGACAAAAATGGCAAGAGTTTATTAAGGATTGTCCACTATTCAGTATAGCACTTTGGTAAAATATATCCACCAATTCAAATATTATTTCATTTAAGCTTTTGAAAGATGAATAATCTGCAAACAATGAAAATTAATTTTCAAAATACATAATGTATCTCCTGAGTTTGTTAAGCTCCCACTTGGATAAGTTAGAAAAAGGTGCATAAAATTATCCTAATCTATAGCATATTTGTAAGATATAGTTCATATTTTGATGGTGTCATGACAGTTTATTCAATGTTAGATTTCTGGTGCAGCAGTCTGTTCAATGTTTGTAGATCTAAACAATCAGGATTGATCACTGAAATTTTGTCCACCACATTTTTATAAAATAACATAAATATAGAACTTTGCATCATGAATCACTAAAAATGCTGAATTTGGTTTAAATGCTCTTACTGAGACTTGATGTCACATTCAAGATAAAATTTTGAGATAATGAACTATAACTTTATAAATGAGCTACTGGAATTGATAAAATGGTTTTAATGCTAAATTGTTGTAAATTTTTCAAATTATAAAATTTTTGAAAAGTGATACAAAGATTGCTTCATGGATTTCTAGAAACTTCTATACACATGACTCACACATTTGACTAAGACTGTAATAGAAGGATAGAAAATGGATAGATTAACTTCTAAAGGCAATACTAAATTAATATGAAATTATTATAAAAAAGGCGAACATGGTTATAGGACATCAAATAAAAATTCTTTTTTGAAAACTCACGGCAGTGAACATTGGTCGTCTCATTGAGAAAAAACCAGATGCAGTTATATTCGGTGTACCCAAAGAAATGGTGGAAAGGATGAAAAATTCCAGCTGCTTTTGCGCATTCTTCGGCCAATGTGAGCTGTCCAGATGCTGCAGGATCTTCTGGATCTCCTCCGACTAGAAAACAAATAAACAGAAAATTAAAATATACTGTAGTTCAAGAAATATGAGTGAAGAGCACTTTTGAAAACAAGTACTGTACATTATAATATAAATATCAAAAGGTTCTGTTAAGCCTCAATACTGTGGATGAAAGCTAGTGGAAAAGTTTCATAGGCTTCAAGCATATACTCATTATACTGTAAAGAATTAAAATAATTATTTAAAATTCTCTGAATATGGAATAACAGAGGAAAAACACACAGTGTTTGGAATCCATCAACTCTGGCATTGATTTTATATACAATATGATGCAAGGCCATAATTATTTAAATTTTTGTGATGGTTACAAAAACTATACTTTCTTCGTGAAATTGAAAAAAAATTTAATACAGTGAGACCCCAAGATGTGGACGTAATTGGTGCATCAAGAGTGTCCTGATGCCAGAATGCCCTCAAGTCAAGTCTCTTTTCTTCTTAGACTTCAATGCTATTATATTTAATTGGTTCTCCTTTTTGTCAAAAGTTAGAAAGAAGTCCTCAAAAACTTCAATAAAATCTGTTTCCCTCAACTTCAAGTTGTAGAAAACAAAAGTGCAGAACAAAACCACATAGAATCTGATCTTTTGGTATCAAAAGGAGATCAAAAAGCAAAGAAAAATAATAAATCTTGCTTGAATATACACACAAATCATAGAAAGAAAAACTCTGAAAAAATAAACACAAAATCAGCTTGCTTTTGATAATGAATCAGAGTGAATTTATCATGAAATATTTTTTAAAATTTTGTGAATATAAATAGCTTGATTTGTTCAAAATATATAAAAAAGCTTAATCTTTTTGGGAAAATTTCAGAAAAGTGTCCCTAACTTGGGACAATGTTCTGATGTTGGGCCTGATTTGTTTGGTTTTCAAGTGTCCCTAAGTCAAATTGTCCAGATGTCAGCTAGGGTGTCTGCACATCAGGGTCTCACAGTATTGCAAAAAAAAAAGGTTTGCCATAGTTTTTCTGCTTTCAGATAAATCATGTTGGGTTGAATCATGCATGCCTAAATAACTAAAGGGGAACAAATTAAAGCCACAAAATAAAATGAAATAATGATGGACTCTTTAGTACAGCCTACAGTTTTTAAAAGTAAACAGTGCAGTCCTATAATTACCTCAGGAGTACACATTGATTATCTCACATTCAAAAGGTTCTTATGCCACTACTAGGTAAAAAACAATAATTTCTAAAATGAATGCAAAAAAATGAGATGAATAAATTATCACAATTGACTAGTCAAGTACAATAACATCCGGACAAATTATCTCTGCAAACTTTCCTGAAGAAAAAACATCTTCTAAAATATACCCAGTATAAAAATCCATCTCCATAAAATTCCTCTTCAAAAATTATCTTTCTATGATGCATTTGCAAGGATTTTCCAGATATTCTGCCAGTAAAGCCTGGTTCTAAATGCTGCTGGACCTTATGCCAAGTCAAAATCAAATAATTCTAAAACCTCCCTCATTTAAATTTCCTGTCAATCTTTGCTCAAGTTCCATGCAATTTAAACTTCGCTACTTGAAAACTTCTTTGGTCAAACATCCCTCAGTCAAATTAAAAATATTTTCAATAAATGTTAGAACAATACAGTGTAGTTCCAAAAAAATATGCGCATTATTTTATTTATGCCCTCCACAAGGGATTTTGCATCTTCCTGCAGGTAGTGAGGAATCTTTGAATAACCAACAGTAATTCTGAAAATAAAAAATAGTTTGGGCATTCGCGGATACAACACAAAATTCTTCATTGGCAAAAATTCAATAAGTTTTGTTCTTGATAAAATTATGCTCATCACTGAAAGATTCTTCTCGAAAATAAAAAAAATCTGAAATAAAGTGAGAAAAGTAATTCATTCTTCACACTGAAAAACAGGCCTACTTGAATTTGAAAAAAGTTTTTCTCTATAACGTTAAAAATCAGAACTAAAATAATGCCGGGCGAACCGCGGATACAATATACCATACAAACTTTTTCAAACCGGCTAAAATTAATCAAGGCTCATTAAAAAAAATGTATACTCGAAAGTTGAGAAAATATTATTAATCCAAATACTAATAATAATGCATTTTTCAATTGCATCACATTAAAAATTACGCCTTCGTGAATTTGAAATACAGTGAAATTCTCTACGATTTTAAAAATAAACTCCAAAAACATTTCTGATATCCTATTCAAAATTCTTCACATCCAAAAAAAATTCAGCTTCCTTCTTTTAATACAATTCTGATCATCACTGAAATATTCTACTCGGAAATTGAGAAAATACTAATAATCTAAAATTAAATAATACTGTAATAATGCATCCTTCACTTGAACCGCATTTAAAAACGGGCCTTCCCGTGAATTTGAAATACCTTTTAATGTCTAAAATCAAAAATTAAATATTTACTTGAGTACCACGCGCCCTCAATTAAGGCACGCACAGGGGTTTTTCAGTTTGAAATTTGGCTAAAATCTTATCCCTGAGTAAGACGCGCACCCCAATTTTTGGTGACTTCTACAACCACAAAATTTCGAAAATAAAAACAAAAAATTGACTTTAGACATGAATTGAACAAAAATCTGATAAATTTTCAACTTTTTCAGTACAAAAAAGTTTTTGGGTTACATTTTTTTCCAAATTTCTCTATTATAATCAAGTATATAATGCACACATAACTTCCTAAAACTTCTTGAAAAATTTGTACCTGCTTGTGACGCGCACCCCTTTTTTTCTTCTGAATTTTGAGAAAAAAGGTGTGAGTGGTACTCAAGTAAATACGGTAATACGATTTTGGGCCCATTATACTTTGTACCACGCAAAATTCTTCATATTGGCTACAAATCAATTAATCAAGGTTCGGTCTTGACTAAAATTCCAATCATCACAAATATAAAAGGTTCTATGGACTCAACCATCGAGAAAATGCCAATAATCCAAGTACAGTAATAATAAATAAGCAGCATTGCATTCCAATAAATATCGCACAAACAAAGAAAACAAACAACAAAACACGACAAACCTTGGAGCACATGAGATTCCCGGCAATAGAAAACACCAAGAGCCTCAGCGTGACCTCGGCGAAAATGAACGTGTAGCACACAATCTCCACCGTGTCCCCGCCGAAACTCGCCAAAATCACCACCAGGTACAAATTGGCGATGCAAAAGTACGTGAGAAACACGACGGTGAACAACAACTGCGGCGTAAACAGGCCCTCGATCATCTCCACAAACTCGCAGAGACTCAAATACGTCCTCCTCGCATGCGCGATCCGTCTCACCAACAAACACTGGTTCGCCCCGGTCTCCGTCCGCAACACGCGCAGGATCTCGGCCTTGAGCGCCTCGAAACAAGTGGCGACACTCAGCGTGAGATAGAGGAAGAACGCGTCGACGAAATGCGCGCCAAAGACTCGGATGGCGTTCCGGGCCACGGCGCAGACGACGCCCCAGGCATCCCGGTGGCAGCCCGTGACCGGGTCGATGACGACCTTGGTGAAGAAGAGCGCCATGAAGGTGATGAGGACGAGCGTGCCGACCGAGTAGGTGACGAGCAGGGCGCGTTTCACGTACTTTTCCATGGCAGCGGCGATGTAGTGCTTGTTCATCTCGAACTTTTGCCACCGGTTGAAGTACTCCTCCATGCGCTTGAAGTGGAGCGCGAAGCAGATCATGGTGAGCAGGGCGCTGGGCACTGCCAACATTTCCTTTCATTTTTTGTTGTTGTTGCAAAAGAGGAAAAGTAAACAAAACAAAAAGACACCAATCATTATACTGTACATACAAAAAACCCTCGAATAGTTTTTGGCACAAAAATTCCATCCTGCTAAAATCTCTAGATACTTGTCTCTACATAAATGTCAAGATCTTGAGATTCAGATAATGACAATACAGTTCAGTACATGGAAAACAAATCAGCAGGATAATTATTTAGCTTTGAAAAAAAAGGAAAAGTAAACAAAACAAAAAGACACCATTCATTATACAGTACTGTACATACAAAATACCCTTGAATATTTTTTGCACAAAAATTGCATCTTGCTAAAATCTCTAGATCCTTGTCTCTATATAAATGTCAAGATCTTAAATCCAAGTTCAAGAAAAATGTCACATTTAAATAAATGTCCACCACGATGGACATTTTTTGAAAAAAAAAAATTAGACATTCAATTCTGAGATTCAGACAGTACAGTTCAGTACATGGAAAACGAATCAGCAGAAGAATTATTCAGCTTTGCAAAAGAGGAAAACAAAACAAAACCAAAAGACACCATTCATTATACTGTACATACAAAATACCCTTGAATATTTTTGGCACAAAAATTTCATCTTGCTCAAATCTCCAGATACTTGTCTCTACATAAATGTCAAAATCTTAAATCCAAGTTCAAGAAAAATGTCACAATAAAATAGAATGTCCACAACAATGGACATTTTTGTGAGAAAAAAATACGTAAGACATTCAATTCTGAGGTTAATTTAATGACAAGAAAGTTCAGTACATGGAAAACACATTAGCAGGAGAATTATTCAGCTAAGAACCTGCTTTGTAAATTATTTCTAAAATTTTTGATAAACAAGGAAACCCCCAAAAATAAATGCCAGGGAACTATTAAAACCAATCCCCAGAATGATTTGAAATTCAACAAGCCCATTAGTATTATGACAAAAAAAAAAAAAAAAAATAGTCACTTACTGTGGATCCCTGGACACAGTGGTCAAACTTGGTCACCACAGTGGCAATGCTTAGATTCGTGCCCAGGGCCTCGAAGCAGTTCTGACCCGGGTTCAACCACTTGGTGACACCCCGGGTGCTCAAATACACTGAGAACCCAATCAGACTCAGTCCGTAGACCACATGCACCCGTTCCCAGCGGAACCTGAGTTTCGGGGCACCCACAATGGCGTAAGGGGTTAAAGTCGCCTCCGAACTGTCCTTCACCAACGGGAACATCCCGCACAACAGACCCCACCATCTCAATGGCTGGAACCCGTGGTACAAGAAGCTGAAAAAAATTTAAAACAAATGGTCAATTATAATTACATATTCATTAAAAAAACCCCAAATTTAAGAAATTCCGAAATTTAAATTCGAAATACAGTAAAATGTTATTTTTTCAATTAAAAAAAAATCGTCAATTGTTTTTCTGCTTAAAAAATTCCTCAATGAGAAATTAGGGCACACATTTACAGTAAAAACTCTGCTGTTACAACGAATCGCGTTATAATAAAGTATTTGTATTGTTATGAAACATTCTCCCCAAATTCCAGCAGTTTCTCCATAAGGGCAGCGTTATAAAAAAAAAGTTTATTTAAACAAACTAATTTTTCTCAATAATATCAGCATAACAATTTGTTTGTCTTGATTACATGAATTAAAAGAATTTTCAATAAATGGAGAAAAATGAGAAAATCCAACTTGTGCATCATTAAAAATCATCAAAAGAAATGCTGATCTTCACACAGAAAATTTAGCATAATACAGTAGCAAGAAGGATGAAACATGATGCTCTCATCAGAATTCATCCAGATTTATTTTCAAACTCAGAAATGAATTACTTTTTTTTTTAGATAAACAGTATGTTAAAATTACTGATCTATTTTGGGGAACACACAGCTTTTAATGAATAAATTAAACATGTATTTTTGTTTTTTCCAGTGGATATTTCAGTAAGATCAGTAATTTTTCTGGAAATTGAAGAAGAAGAGGGTCTAGAAAAAGATAATTTCATTTCACTTGGTTTTCTCTGTTAGTTCATAAGAAGTGGAAATTATGAAACTTCTTCAAATATATGTTGTGGAAGCACTTTAAAAGAGTTACTGTACAAGCGTACAGCATAACCTGCTTATAAAAAAATATCAGTCCTAAATGTTCCATGAACCATCACGAATTTCACTCTAATGGATTCTTCGTTATAACGAATTTTGCACAGCTCTCTATATCGGAATTCGTTGCACTAAGATTTTATTTGAACGAAAAATGTTTGAAATTTTCGGAAATTTTTTCACAGTACAAAATTTTCATTTAATTTCCCCAATAGAAATTTTTCTTTCCCTCGCTTTTCAAAAGTGCAGAATTTTCGTTGAACATTTACCAATGCAAAATATCACTCTAATGGATTCTTCGTTATAACGAATTTTGCACAGGTCCCTATACAGTATTGGATTCCTTGTACCGATATTTTACTCGCATGAACAATTTTTGAAATTTTTTACAGTGCAAAATTTTCATTAAATTTCCCCAATAAAAACTTTTCTTTCCCTAGCCTTTTCAAAATGCAGAATTTTGTTGAACATTTCCCCATACGTTTAAATTTCTGAATTGCGAAAATTTCGTTGAATTTTTGGCAAAAAGAAAATTTTCGTTCCAGTCTTTTTAGAAATTTTAGTCTTTCCTAATCCGGGGTACAGTAATTTAACCCCGATTTCTCTCAAAAAGGGTCAAACACAAATTATTACAGGGCACAAGAAATCCAGAGTCCGGGGCTCAATTCACAAAATTTTCCCCAATAGAAATTTTTCTTTCCCTCGCTTTTCAAAAGTGCAGAATTTTCGTTGAACATTTACCAATGCAAAATATCACTCTAATGGATTCTTCGTTATAACGAATTTTGCACAGGTCCCTATATCGGAATTCGTTGTACTGAAATTTTACTTGTGCGAAAAATGTTTGAAATTTTCGGAAATTTTTTCACAGTGGGAATTAATTTTCATTTAATTTACCCAATAGATAATTTTCTTTTCCTCGCTTTTTAAAAATGCAGAATTTTCGTTGAACATTTACCAATACAAAATATCACTCTAATGGATTCTTCGTTATAACGAATTTTGCACAGGTCCCTATACAGTATTGGATTCCTTGTACCGATATTTTACTTGCATGAACAATTTTTTAAATTTTTTACAGTGAAAAATTTTCATTAAATTTCCCCAATAAAAATTTTTCTTTCCTTAGCCTTTTCAAAATGCAGAATTTTGTTGAACATTTCCCCATACGTTTAAATTTCTGAATTGCGAAAATTTCGTTGAATTTTTGGCAATAAGAAAATGTTCGTTTCAGTCTTTTTTTAGAAATTTTAGTCTTTCCTAATCCGGGGTACAGTAATTTAACCCCGATTTCTCTCAAAAAGGGTCAAACACAAATTATTACAGGGCACAAGAAATCCAGAGTCCGGGGCTCAATTCACAAAATCAGACCCTCCAGCAGTACCTGTGGAAATCGAGTGGGTATCGGCTGTAGCACTTGCGAATGCTTTCCCGGGACGCGGAAACCCGTTTGAAGCGGGCCCGGGCAAGCGCAACCCGGCCCAGAATCGAGAGCCTTCTGCTGCGCTGCGGACTGATCCCCGCTTTATTGTCCATCAGCTGGGATTGCCTGGGGAAAAATAATCTAGACGGTGAGATGCAAAACAGCAACACTTGACACCCGTCTATTCACGACGGGTTTCCCCCTTTTTTAAATACAGTACTGAACAATAAAATCTGAACATGCTTGCCCATGCAAAAATAATTTTGTCTACAGCAACTTCCTCTTGAAAACGATCATCTTTCCGGGCTCCGGAGCCAAGAAAAACCACTCAATCCCATAATACAGAAATACAGGTATGGAATATCGATTATAACAGACGTGAATATTTTTTTTTAAAGATTACAGTGAGACCCCCACACATGCAGGCGCCTCAACCTGCGGACAATTCAACATAGGGACACTTATTGTCCCAGAAAAAAAATCAATAGATATGGCCCAACATGAGGACACTGACTCAACAAGGGACATTTTGTGATAAAATTGCAAATACATTTCCAGCCTTATTACAAGAAACAGATATTTCCAACCCTGAAATTGATGTAATAAAAGTTCTTGGGCATTTCTCTCACCAAATTACCATCCATTCCACAAAACACCAATTAAAAATTATATAATGTAAGTCCATGGGAAAACAAGACTTGACTTAGGGACATTTCGACTTGAAGACAAAATAAAGAAATAATAAATAATAATAGTAATACAGTAAATAAAGAAGTCCATAAGAAAACAAGACTTGACTTAGGGACATTTCGACTTGAGGACAAAATAAAGAAATAATAAATAATAATAATAGTAATAAATAAAGAAGTCCATGGGAAAACAAGACTCGACTTAAGGACAAAATAAAGAAATAATAAATAATAATAATAGTAATAATAATAATAATAGTAATAAATAAAGAAGTCCATGGGAAAACAAGACTCGACTTAGGGACATTTCGACTTGGGGACACTCTTGATGCACCAATTACGTCTGCATCTCGGGGTCTCACTGTATTTCATCCCACAACTGAGGTGATTTTATGTACAGTATTTATTAGCCGGTCTGTGAGCCCAGAAATGTTGAGTAACACAAGTACTGCATACAGTACTGCGCTTAGAAAAAACACAACTTCCAACAAAATAAATCGACGCTCACTTGGAAGACTTGCGACGAATCGTTTTGATTTTCGTGGAAAGCGTGGGCTTGTGATGATGAAGATGATGATGATGATGAATAGGGGCGTCGTTTTTGTTGATGTCGGACCCGTCGTCGCCGTCTGACGTCATGAGGAACGGCCCGATCGTGAAATCCCGAGATGGCGGCAAGCACGTCATCTGCTCGGCCATCTTGTCATCGTCAGACACGTTGTCGGACTTGCTGAGGCTCATTGCCTGCAGCATTTGTGCGATAAGACGCTCACAGACGAGCCCTTTCTCGTCGTCGTCGTCGTTGTCCTCACGATCATCCCGCCATTTTTTTAGTTCGTCGATTCCGATCGCAAGCAAATATGTATTATCCTCGATTTCTATAACATGGGAACAAAAAACATATCGACAACGTTTCGATGAGATTAAATACAGCAACAGGGCAAAATAATAATGAGGGAAAAATTTTGGCACGGTACATGCCTCAATATTCTGTTCGATAAATAAATGTAAAGAAGACAGATTTTTTCACCACTTATGATAATAACCCATTTAAAAAAATTACATACAGTTTCAAAAATATTTTATATTTTGGCACAGATTTTTGATCTTGGTTCCATGAAGGAAAACTACTTAAACAAGAAGAATTCTATTTTTGATAAAAAAAAATGTCAACAATACAGTGAGACCCCAAGACAATTGTTGCATTAAGAGTGTCCCTAAGTCAAATTGTCACCAAGTCAAGTCTCATTTTCCCTTAGACTTACATTATATAAATTTAATTGGTGTTTTATGTACAAAATACTCACGATAATTCCATCTTTTATTTTTAACAGAGGGAATTTAAACTGATTCCAATCAATATATTTCAACACAATATGGGCATTTGAATACTGATACCTCTGTACAGTACATATAAAGGTTGGCATTCTCTGTAAAAATAATATTCAAGTGTAAAAGAAAGAAGGAAGTCCTTCTCTGCTGAAGGTAATTTTTTAAATTAACTATATGGATGGTAAATTGGTGATAGAAATCCCCAAGAAATTTTCTTACATCAATTTTAGGGTTGGAAATATCTGTTTTTTGTAATTTGGCCTGAAACTCATTTGCAATTTTGTAACAAAATGTCCCTAAGTTGAGTCAGTGTCCTCATGTTGGGTCTTTTTAATTAATTTTTTATGATAAAATAAGTGTCCCCATGTCAAATTGTCCGCAGGTCAAAGTGTCCGCATGTGGGGGTCTCACTGTAGTTGAAAATTCAAAAGGACTCTTATTGGCATTTTTATTTTTTGCTGAGCTTCACTTTTTGAATATTAATTATAGTGATAAATACAATTTAAAGCAATCACAACACATAGATGATAGCTTTTCAGGTAATTGGTTTTTGGTGAAACTGAAAGGATTCCATAAAATGTTACATTATTTATTCAAATGACAGACATTTTGAGTAGAACAATCAGGTCCGTTATCCGAGGCACCTGGGTTTATGTAGTTACAAGACCATTTGAATTCGTACAACAATCTCTTGAATTAAATTTACTGCACAATATTCACTTTATTGAGTGGCATGTACCCTTGCAATAAGGCGCACACCTTCATTAGATAAACACTTCACCCCCAAAAATACACTCCCCCCCCCAACAATTTTCAGTGAAAATGTTTAAAAACCAAGAATTGCAACAGATAAATGCATAAGTTTATGATAAATGACAGGAGACTTCAAGTGATTTAAATCTGATTCTTCATTATGATATTTTATGTCCCTATAATGTGATCCAACAGCAATGGGCACACAAATTTTGCAAAAGTGTCTGCTCTTAACTCAAACAGATGATAGATGAAAATTATCAATAAATATTGTGAAAAAAGAAAACATAGTTGGCACAAAAGAAAAATCAGCCATGTTTGAAATAAAAATTTACAGGAAAAGTGAGTACAGTACACTCAGGCAAGAATATGATGCGCGCCCCCAATTTTTATTTGGTACACATAAAAAGAAATCTGCATGGTACTGGAATAAATATAGGAAATCATGGTAATTTTATGTTCTGATTCATGATTCCACTGTAAGGGATATTCGTCTCTTCAACTTTCTTTTTGTCCTTAAAGTTAATCAAGTGAAAAAGGTTGAAAGACATTGTCTAAATCCTGTACGTTATATAAATTTTTCTTTTGGAGACTTCTTAGGGACAAGAAGTAAAAACGGATTTTTATTTTTGTGTCTATTTTTTGCAATTATGCATCGACATAGCATCAATTCCAAGGGTTGCCTTTTGGTCTTGCCAGCAGGTAATTCCGTCATTGTCATCAATTCTCATCCGTAGGCTCATTAAAATGGCGGAATTAATCATCAATTAATCGCGGCAACCCTTCAAGTTAATGCTAATTCAATTCCAAGAATTCAGCAGGGAAACCTGGGATTAAAAAAAAACATCTGCAAGACTGTCGCCTCATCTCTTAATGAGTGAAAAGTAGAAACTTTTGAAAAATTTGCACACAAAATAAAAAAAAAAACACTTCAATCATGGCTGATTTTTTATTTTGTGTCAAATATGTTTTCTTTTTTCGCAACACTTATTAATAATTGTCATCTATCATCTGTTTGAGTTCAGAGCAGGGAATTTTGCAAAATTCGCAAAAAAAAAGTACAAAAAATACTTCAAACATGGCTGATTTGTTCTCTTGTACCACAGATGTTTTCTTTTTTTCTCAAAATATCTATGATTTTCATCTATCATCTGTTTGAGTGAAGAGTAGAGACTTTTGCAAAATTTGAAGAAAAATGCGAAAATTATTTCATACATGGCTGATTTTTCTTTTGGGCCAAATATGTTTTCTTTTTTTCACAATATTTATTGACAATTTTCATCTATCATCTGTTGGAGTTGAGAGCAGAAACTTTTGCAAAATCTAAAAAATGCAAAAATTATTTCAAACATCGCTGATTTTTCTTTTGTGCCAAATATGTTTTATTTTTTTCACAATATTTATTGACAGTTTTCATCAAAATTAAAAAAAAATATTACAAAAATACTTCAAACATGGCCGACTTTTCCTCTTGTGCTAAAATTGGTTTCTTTTTTTTTTAAAAACAATAATTGTTCTTCATCTCAATCGTACACACCGTTTCAATTTTTATTCCGAGAACATTCGTTACACCCCCGTCGTTATTTTTACAAACTTAGCAAACGAAAGTTTTAATACAGCTCGTTCACTAAATGCTTTGTGTGTCCTTCCCGAAAGTTTATATGCGGGTCGGAGGCAAATACGTTTACTATACGAGCAGACACACTGGGAACAGGAAGAAGCCAAAACCTGCATGTGATCTCTCAGCGAGTCAAGGATTAGCTTATGATAGGGGTTGGAGAATAAGTACTTAATTACGCGGTCTTTGACTGAGTTACGCTGCCCTTTGCAAGTGGAACAAAAGTTTAGGTTAGGTCTAAAGTGGTAGTGTCTAAAGATACGTTTTATTTTAAATAGTGCAGTACACAAAAACATTGGAAAAAAATAATATCTCGATATTTTACAATTTGTTTTTTTCGAGAGAAAATTTCTCACCTCGAAATAAGCAGCAGTCCTCGAAAAACGATGATCGTGAAATTTCAATCAGCAAACTTCAATCAATCGGATAATTCGCGTCCACGTACAAATCAACTACGCCAATCGCGCGGAATCTGAACGAAATCCCACAATATAAACTTTAAAAAATACGAAACACGAACGCATAAAAAATCTCACTTTCTTTTGCTGTGTGACACATTTGCAGATGATGTTTCTGGACCGAAGACCAGCATGGGACTGGCATTTGAAAGAAAGCGCCGAGTTCTTCATCTGAATTCTGACCTTCCATGGAAATCATTTGTCCGGGGATTGCTGCTTAAATTTGGGTCCCAGTGCAATTGGTGGCCGGGTTGTGACCGCTCATGCATGCGAAATACTGTATCCCGAACCATACAAGCTGAATGCCATTTACTGAAAAAATAAAAATGGGGTAGAAAAAAAAATTAAATCCGAGAATCATGAATAATATATACGCACCGCGTCACTTGAACATGGTATTTTGAAACTGATTAACCTTACCGACTTTCCCTTGAAGCATCAAAGGGGTTGAATTCGTTCTGAAAATTATACTTGAAGAAAAAAAGGGTTAAAAACGAAATGCAGCGCTTTGAATGTTGAAAATTTTAAAAGAGATCCACTTGAAATCATCAACAGAGCACGTGGATAAAAAAAAATTGTACGTTACCAAGTAATTGAACCTCCCAAATTTGGTTTTCTAATTACCGTATTTACTTGAGTACCACACACCCTCAAGTAAGGCACGGACAGGGGTTCTTCAGTTGGAAATTTGGCTAAAATCTTATCCCCAAGTAAGACACTCACCCCAATTTTTAGTGAATCTAAAACCACAAAATTTCAAAAATAAAAACAAAAAAATTGACTTTAAACATGAATTGAACAAAAATCTGATCAATTTAAACTTTTTCAGTACAAAAAGGTTTTTTTGTTACATTTTTTCCAAATTTCTCCCTTATAATTCAGTGTAATGCTCACATAACTTCCTAAAACTTCTTGAAAAATTTATACCCGCTTATGACGCACACCCCTTTTTTTCTTCTGAAATTTGAGAAAAAAGGTGCACCTGGTACTCAAGTAAATACGGTAATCCCAGAAAGGACAATGCCCTCAAGTCTACTTCATTTTTCAAAGGTACATTTCCGTATTAGCGTTGAAAAATTTTGAATCCTCAAGATATGCGAAGAAAATACACGCAGAGGAAGTCTTGTCACATCAAAATGTGTCCGATACTTCAGATGGTGGAAAATGTACAAGAAAGGCATGAATTATTGTGCACCGAATCATGTAAGAGTTCATGGTCGAAAAAACGTCATGCCTCTGTCCCACATCAACTCTTGGACTGATCAACATTCAAAATACCTCCCATAACACACCATATTTAAACGGAAACTTTCTCTTACGATTCCCAGAAGAAAAAAAAAAATTTCTTCGAATTGGAGTGCGTTTCGAAATTAGGAGAAAATTCACGTAAAATTGGGGCTTCACGAAGTGATCAATCAAACTAGGGCGTGGTTTGTACTCGATTGACAAAAATATTCAAATAAAATGTAACATAATTCCGGCGGCAAATTATTTTCGGAGTCAGTTCAGGCGGTCAAATCAAAAGAAACTTTTTTTTCTTTCAATCCGTGACGATAGAAAATTGAATACTTTACTGGGAGAAACTTTTCGGCTGCAAACACACAAAAGAAAGCTAGAGAAAAATTAATTTCTTTCCTTTTCTTGCTCAAAACAAAAAGGACCAAAAGTATTTGGTAGGGCACAAGAGGAAGTTGCTTTGAGCTGGTGTCGTTGTAAGTTTAGCAATAGCTGCTTTTTTTTTGTTTTGTTGTTCAAAGTGAAAACCGTCATCATTTGCGATCAAAAAGCTGAAGGAAACTGAGGGTTGGATCCGTATCCTCCACGATTTCCGTATCCGTTGGTATTCTGAAATCCGTAATAGTTATTGACAGTGGAGTCCCAGGAGCCTTGGCGGTGATGACCGCCTCTCACGTCCACTTGAGCATATTCCCGGCCTCGGAAATTGGCTTGAGCTGGTCCATCGAATCTCGGAGCGTCACTGTAATTCCTTGAAAGAGTGAGAATCAAGCATGAGTTCATTTTTAAAAACAAAAAAATTTCCGGACAGATCACTCAAAATGAATTTCATAGAGAATCACTATGAAAATAATCTTTATAATATAATATGGTAATATTAATATTTTATAATATTTTTATATTTTTTCTAATATTTTATATGGTCTCTACAATCATTCAGTAACACTGCTCCTTGCCACTAATTTTNATAGAGAATCACTATGAAAATAATCTTTATAATATAATATGGTAATATTAATATTTTATAATATTTTTATATTTTTTCTAATATTTTATATGGTCTCTACAATCATTCAGTAACACTGCTCCTTGCCACTAATTTTCCAGGTACAAATAATCCTTAATTGTGTTCTGAAAGTAAACCCCATTTTAGTGCCAAATCACATAGTTCCACAAAAAAATCCTCGCCATGAATGAAAAATGGGCCAAAATCTAAGAAATAAAGGCCTTTTCCAGAGATCTCATTGAGTTATTTCTGAGAAGCATGCGTCCATACTCATGTAAAACCGCAGGATAATTAAAAACATTCTATTCCTGAATTAACAATGTAAACTTTTTTTATGGATGATACCTCTTTTTATTAAATTTTTTTAATGAAGTGGGTAATTTCCCAGAAAATTTTTTGATTCCTACATGATCGCATCCGATAAAAAACTCAAACTCAAATAAAACTTCAAGAATTTCTGCTTTTTCACCAGAAAAAATGTGTGTGAAAATTTAATATACTGTCTTTTCAAATACATTGAAATACAGTAAACAAACAGTACATTTGAGCTTCAAATTACAGTACTGTCAAGCCTTGAATTAGTGCCATACTTGCAGAGTTCCACAATTTCCCTGCATTTTTTTTTCTCAAGGGGAACCCTGATATAGTGGCAATTCACTTAGTGCAAAAAAAATTTTCCTGTCCTGAATGAAATACAGGCCAAAATTAAAGAAATTAAGGCATATTTCCATGATATCATAAGGTTATCATTTAGAATCACAAGCCTATAAACAGGCTAATTTTTTAAATTATATATCTGAATTGCCATGTAATTGGGTGGTAATATTTGGATGTTCTCCACAGCAAAAAGTAACAATAACTGGAATAGTCTGAAAAAATTACAGATCACTTAACCTCATCATGAAATTGTGTACCTTCATTGAAATGTTGACACAAAACTGCAAGAAACAGATCCAATCTTCTACTTGACCCAATATGTCAAGAAATCTAACATGCAGATCCTACAGAATTACATAAATTGAAATGCAGTAAAAACAGTTCATTTGAGCATCAAATTATTTCCTGTGGCTTCATTGCTTATAAAACAGACTAATGTGGCCTAAAATTTCTGCAAGCGAGCTGATTTATTTTACCTATTCAGTATTTTGATGACAATAAATCGGGGTTTAATTTTTATTTTATTTATTTCATTCTTATAAAACAAACTCAGTAGACTAATTAACAATTCAGTGAGAAAGCTTATTTTTTCCTACAGCAGAAACCAGCCAAACTAAAACTTCCCTCAAACAATTCTCTCAATTTAGCGCCACCCTCGCTTAAAGCCAGGGTATATTACTTCATTAAATCGAGGTTTGACTGTTCATAAAATCAATTACCCATTTTCGCCCCCCCCCCCCTCTTACCGATATTCGTAACCCGTTTCGGAATGCGGAAGAAATTCTTCCACCCTGTCTCTGCTAAAGTCACTCCATGCTCCGCTATTATTGCCACGATAATGTTGTTGACCCCGGGAGACGAAGTTGCTTCTCTCTCCTTGCCAAACCGGCGTCGGCAAAACGGCGTCCTTCCGGCGCTTCACGGGTGTCTCACTATGAAAATAATCTTTATAATATAATATGGTAATATTAATATTTTATAATATTTTTATATTTTTTCTAATATTTTATATGGTCTCTACAATCATTCAGTAACACTGCTCCTTGCCACTAATTTTTCTGGTACAAATAATCCTTAATTGTGTTCTGAAAGTAAACCCCATTTTAGTGCCAAATCACATAGTTCCACAAAAAATCCTCGCCATGGATGAAAAATGGGCCAAAATCTAAGAAATAAAGGTCTTTTCCAGAGATCTCATTTAGTTATTTCTGAGATATTTATGCTCATGTAAAACCACAGGATAATTAAAAACATTCTATTTCTGAATCAACAATGTAAACTTTTTTATGCATGATACCTCCTTTTATTACATTTTTTTTTAATGAAGTGGGAAATTTCCCAGAAAATGTTTTGATTCCTACATGATAACATCTGATAGAAAACTCCAACTTAAATAAAACTTCAAGAAGATCTGCTTTTTCACCAGAAAAAATGTGTGAGAAAATGCAATATACTGTCTTTTCAAAAACATCGAAATACAGTATACAAACAGTACATTTGAGCTTCGAATTACTGCCAAGCCTTGAATTAGTGCCATACTTGCAGAGTTCCACAATTTCCTCGCATTTTCTTCTCAAGGGGAACCCTGATATAGTAACAATTCAGTTAGTGCCAAAAAAATATTCCTGTCCTGAATGAAATACAGGCCAAAATTAAAGAAATTAAGGCATATTTCCATGATATCATAAGGTTATCATTTAGAATCACAAGCCTATAAACAGGCTAATTTTTAAAATCATATATCTGAATTGCCATGTAATTGGGTGGTAATATTTGGATGTTCTCCACAGAAAAAAGTAACAATAACTGGAATAGTCTGAAAAAATTACAGATCACTTAACCTCATGATGAAATTGTGTGCTTTCATTGAAATGTTGACAAAACTGCAAGAAACAGATCCAATCTTCTACTTGACCCAATATGTCAAGAAATCTAATATACAGATCCTACAGTATCAATGGAAATGCACTAAAAACAGTTCATCAAATTATTTCCCGTGGCTTCCTTGCTTATAAAACAGACCAAGTGGCCTAAAAATTCTGCAAGCGAGCTGATTTATTTTGCCTATTCAGTATTTTGATGGCAATAAATCGGGGTTCAAGTTTTTATTATTAATTTCACTCTTATAAAAAAAACTCAGTAGACTAACAATTCAGTGAGAAAGCTTATTTTTTTCCTACAGCAGAAACCAGCCAAACGAAACCTTCCCTCAAACAATACTCTCAATTTAGCGCCACCCTTGCTTGAAGCCAGGGTACGAGGGTTCTAACAAAAGTTTTTTGGAAGGAAAATGGCGCATAAAAGAGCTGAAAAAAAATTATTCTTTAGGGCAAACATATTCTTTGGCACAAAAAAAAAGTGGCCGCCACTTTCGAGCTAAAAAAAAATTATTCTTTAGGGCAAACATATTCTTTGGCAAAAAAAAAAAGTGGCCGCCACTTTCGAGCTGAAAAAAAAGTGGCCGCCACTTTGGCAGCTGTCGATGAAAATGGCGGAATTGCCTTGGAAGACCTGGAGGCAACCCTTGGAATTACTGCCACATTGATTTCAAGATACAGTAATGTTCAATATTTGGAAAGAAAATGAGAATTCCAAGGCATGCCTTGGAAGACCTGGAGGCAACCCTTGGAATTACTGCCACATTGATTTCAAGAATTCTGAGGGAAAAGCTGGGCTGCAAAAAAAAAAAAAAAAACTGCAGGAAGGGCACCTCATCTGTTGAGTGGATAGCAAAACTCTGCCAGGGTAAATTTTGCAAAACATTAAAAAAATTTGTCGAACAAGGCTGATTCTTTTTTGTGCCAAAGAATATGTTTGCCCAAAAGAATAACTTTTTTCAGCTCTTTTAGACGCCATTTTCATTGTCATTCCGAGAACTTTTGTTAGAACCCTCGTATATCATTGCATTGAATCGAGCTTTGACTGTTCATAAAATCAATTACCCCTTTTCGCCCCCCCTCTTACCGATATTCGTAACCCGTTTCGGGATACGGGAGAATTTCTTCCCTGCTGTCTCTCCCTTTCAGTGAGGTACGAGGCGATAATAACGGTGCTATTACAACAACTGGGGCCCTCTGCTTCAACGAAGAGAGAGGAACGGTTTGGCCGCAGCCGTTTTGCCGCAGGAAGGCCGCGAAGTGCCCACAGGCTAACTCGGGAATACTCGCCCGAGACGTACTCGGCTCTCCGGCATCAGACGAATCCGTGTTCACGACCTTTCCTGGTTTCGAATACGACCGAACGTTCCAGAGGTGGTGATCGGTTTTGACTGACGGCTCCACAGGCGTTTCTTCAGTTTCCTAACAAAAAAACGAACGTTGAAAAATAAACCTTAGCTCTTTTTTCTAATTTTGGGCGGTCTTGTAAAAGGCATGGGCTCATTTCCGTGATTAATTCGAAGAATAAAAAATAAAAAACACGCAAAGACTCGATGAATAAATGCACAGGCACTGTACATCAAATGAACAATAAATGGACAAGTAGACCTTTGTTCTTTTATTTATTTTAGGGAGTCCTAATAAAAGTGTGGGTCTCATTTCAGTGATTAAAATTGAACCCATTTTCGCAGATCTGACCCAAAGTGGATCACTCATCATACAACCAGTTTTTTTGCCAGAGAATATACACAAGATAATGATGAAGAGATATAAATACAGCAGGACCCCGAGATGCGGACGTAATTCTTGTACTTCACAGTACTTCTTCGACTATGTCTGTAAGTCGGAACGTCCGCTTTACGGATCACATTTTCCCAAAGACTCCAATGAATCACTGGGAACATTTTAAATCACTTCTGTTCAGCAAAAAATTGGGAACAGTCTGCAAAAAAGTACTGAAAATGAAAGAAAGAAGAAAACCAGACAGAATCTACTCTTCTGGCATAAAATGGAGTCCAGAATGGATGACAGTGAAGCATAAATGGCATTATTGTACAGTTTACACAGTTGAAAAAAAACGCTAAAAAGAGGAAAAAATTAAGTTTGCGATTAAAAATTTAATCAGAGTGAATTTTATGGGACCAAAATATTTGCTGTACAGAGAAAAATCGCTGTAGAAAAGGAAGATTTTTCCAATTTTCGTCACCAAAAATATCACACTTTTCAACTATTTCAAGATACATAAAATGTTTGAAAAAAAAAAAAATATTTTTCCACTTTCCAGAGAATGTTGGCGACGTGTCTTTTTTGGTACGTCGGGGAAATCGTTTAAAATATACAGTGTCCTAAAGTCAAATCGTCCGTATACCGGGGCCCCATTGCATTCCACCTAAACAGATGAAGGCGACTCACGGTATTATGGAAGCGTCGCCAAAGATCCGAACACATCGAGGCCAGATGAGATCGAAGCCCACAAATGCCACAAGCAGTGGAAACTGCAAGACAATCTTTCCCAGGGTGCCTTCGACCACACTGAAAACAATACAATCAAATAAAATTTTAAAAATACGTCCCGACACACACAAGAGTGACCGAAGAATTAAAGAAAAAGACTTTAATATTACACTGTCTCCAATCGAAATACAGATTTCAACAATTTTGAACTGATCAGGTTCAATTTTAAATTTCTGCTGCACACATTAGAGTTCGTTTTTCTGTTCCTGATTCTCGAATTGAAAATTCAATCAACTGAAACATTCCTCAATAAAATGAAAATTTGCGAAGTCTTGCCAGGGCCGCGACTGAATAAAAAAAAATTAAAAATCATGATCCTTACTCAAAACGTAAGGGGTTTCATCCCAAGTTTACAGTACAGTAAATATCCCGATATTTCTCCGCTCACCTTAAAGCACCTGAAATTATTGCATCGCTTGAGCTGTTCATATTGATGATCAGTCTCATCACAGAAATAACAACTAGTGCGTTTCGGAGGCTTAGGACATTCGCCGTAATTATGATCCCGACTGCCGCAATTGTCGCAGGGCACGAAGGATCTTCTTCTCTGCTTGCTCGCAAACGGGTTTTTTGCACGTCGATCATCCAAATACGACAATGGCCAATCTCCGGGACCTGCAGAAGTCGGAATACATTTTTCGATTCCTCAAAATTCATCGAGCGAAAATTCTCGCCGAGGCTCTCATCAATTGAAGACAAAAACGGGGAGCAACTCAGCTCCGCAATTCGTAGTTATTTAAACAAATTGAGGCAAAAAACAGGCGACATCTAGCAGAGAATTCAGAAATTCGAAAAAAATTATCGAAGCTTTGTTTTCATCAATCAAAGACGGAAAGGGATGAAAATCAGCTTCGTTATTTTTCGAGTCATTCACACAAATTTAGACCAAAGGATAAAGCGACACCTACCACACATTTCAGAAAGTTTGGAAAAGAACCGACGACACCTAGCCCACTTTCCGGAAGGTCAGATTTGGGAGGAAAAGGTATGGAAATCAGCTTCGTGAATCCCCCCCACCCCGTCATTCACCCAAATTTTGACCAAAAGAAACAAGCGACACCTACCACAAATTTCAGAAAGTTTGGAAAAGAATAGGCGACACCGAGCACACATTTCAGAAAGTTCAGATTTGCGAAAATTCTTGATTTGTTTCTCCTAATTAAAGAAGGAACACGGAAATAGATCAGCTCCGCAATTTTTCGAGTTGAGAATGCAAACCAAAGGAACAGGCGACACCCAGCGGACAATTCGAGTAGTTCAGATATGCGGAAAAATTATCGATGGTTTGACTTCATCAATTGATGATGGAGAGAGGAAAATAACAGCTGAGCTACGTAATTTTTCGTGCTATTAACACAAATTTAGACCAAAGAAACAGGCGAAAATTAACATAAATTTCAAAAAGCAGTGACTAGAGTTTGCGAAAAAAACGAATTCCCCCTTCTTTTTTTTTCTTTTTTGTGGCAACGAACGAAAAGAAACTTTTTGAAAAAAGAAAACACTCACGAGTTGGACCAAAGCAGAGACAATTCCTCAGCTCTTCCTTCAATTCCAACACACTTTTGTGACGTTGCAACACGTGATCCCGTGTCTGAGACGTTTCCATCTCAACCTCGTCATCCTCAGACTCGTCATCATCAACATCAGCGTTGATTCTCACGTCGACGCCGACACTTTCAACGACTTCCTCGTCATCTTCATCGGACTCAGTCAACAACAGTATTGCTTCAACTTCGATATCGCCGTCAGTTTCGGGAATTTTCGACGCTTCGTCAAGTTTGCGACGTTTCCGAGGATTCGGTGATATGTTCTGGGAACTCGACGATTTCCGCTTCGACTTGGAGACTTCATTGATGCTTTTAGAGTCGCCAGGATCGTCTTTGGTAAAATTGGAATGCAATTCCGACTCCAGCAGAATGACTTCCTCATCTTCAATGGTGACAACCTCCGTCTGTTTTTTGACCGGGGAAAGGGGTATCACTTCCGGAGACGGACTTCCTGGAAAAATAAAATTGTCAACGGATTCAAAATTAAGTACGATTTTTTTAAATCAGCGAAAGATACGAAGAAGATGCTATACTGTAATACTCGTTCAATCGAGATTTTCTTCGGACATTCAGAGGTAAGGAACTCTTGAGCATGGTACAGTATTCACTGGAAATTCTAAATATCTGAACAACTTGTCATAGAAGACAGCTAAAAAAAATGTCAGAGAAGATAAAAAGAAAATGCTACCATATAACACACGTTCAATTGAAATTCTCTGCGGAAATACAGGAGCATAAAGGTCTCAAGCACTAGTAAGTGTAAAATTCACTAAAAATTAAAAAGATATTTTGTCAAACTTACTAGGAGGATTTGAAGAAACGGCTCCAACACCGGTAAACGAAATCACTCCGTTTCGATACATGAACAAAAGACCTGAAAAAAAAAATTGCAAATAGGTAATACGGTACTTGAACACCAGCAATTATACACACACGAATTTCTCCACACTTCAAAGCGGATTAAAAATCATCCAAGTAAAACGTCACAGAAACATCAGCAGGGAAACATTTCATTTGAGCTGGGCTCCACAAAAAAAAGAAGCGGACCACTTTTTGCATAAACAAAATAAAAATCACAGCACAAGGTAAAACATAATTGTTTCGTTTTTGAGACCAGTAACACATGAATAATCGGAAAGCGATTACGCATTCCGATGTTCAGGTGGAACATAGGGCATAAAAATGTAATCGAAAATGTCTTCTTCGCATTTCACCAGCACAGGTTCGCCGGGGTTCGCTGAAAAAAAAAATTAAACAGGTCGTGAATTAATTTGTTTATTTAAACTCAAACTTTAGGAACGTTTCTCCTAAAGGGTCACTAAATATTGTCAGGCGAATTCAACTTTTCGGGTACTGAAGGGGGAAAAAAATCAAACGTGATTCAATGATGCTGAAAAATTGGAAACCACCCAACTTCACAACTAAAAATGGATCTATGAGTACTGTACAGTATACAGGTGCATTCTCTCTACTAAGATTCGTCTCTAAAACGAATATTTTTTCGTTCCATAAGGCATGGGGTTCCATTCGCAGTTATAGGGGCACTCAAACATGAAATTCTCTACCGAGAAAAGTTTTTATGCATACAGGTGGACTCTCACTACAACGAAATTCAAGGGACCAGAAAAAAATATGTTCTGGACAGAATTTCGTTGTTGGGAACCACTACAGCTGTAGAGAGTCCACCTGTATACTGTACATAAATATTTCCGAAGCTCTGTCATTGCTAAGATTTTCAACAAAATACCGTAATATAATTCAACGCCTATTTAACCTAAACTACATGCGCAAGTCATAAATGCGATTACCTAGATTAATCAATCCTCTCATAACACAAACAAATGTTCATAATATAAGATATGGTTTTTGAATATGAACACACAAAAGCACTATCACGGCAATTTCAGCAAAGAAAGAACCTCAAATATGACTGAACTTGAGACCTTCGGACCGACCTAAGGAAATGCGGCACAAAGCCAGCGACATCTACGTATGGGCAAAAGAAATCAAGTCGTTCACGACGTCGCATAGAATCAGGAAAACTCACCACTCCGATCAAATGGACGCAAAGAATACTCGTTCAAAGTATATCCCATTTCCAATGCTCTGGCCCTCATCCGTGAATTAAAAATATCACTGCCGGTGAAGTACAACTTGGCGCAGTGAAACTCGTTGTCAGGGAAAAATCTGACGTCAATGCGACGCGGTTTAGAGCTCTTGTCCAACTTGCACACGCCCATAAATTTCGAGGGGCCTAGAGTGATGCAATCAGTCACGAAACCGATTGATTCCAGGGAGTGAACAAAGTTCTTGAGGATTTCCGCCCGAACTTCTTTCGGAGATTCAGTGTCCACGCCTGTCTTCGTGAGGAGAATGTCGATGTCTCCACTCGATTCTGCTCCACGTCTGGAAATAATGATGTAGAATCAGGTAAATTTAATCAATCGGGTTGAATTCAGCCTTATTTTACAGGATTATCAATACTGCTCTTTGTCGGAGTGATTTTGACAGTATCGTCATAGAAGCAATAATCCGATAGTAAAAGTCAAACCCAGTTGATTCGCAACCCGCCACCACCAAATTAATAAAAAATAATAGTTTTCTCAATAACAATATCGGAAATCCCGCTAAAACGCCATGCGCCAAAATTATTGAACACTCAAATCATCAAATATGCTCCTGCCAATAAATTCCGATACCCAACAAAAATTATTCAAATTTCTGTGAGAGGTCTACAATTTAAAAATAACACTCACAATGATGACACAATTTACTTCCTGGGGACATAAACTAGATATAATTTACATATCACAGGGTTATTTTGATTGTTTTCTAAAAGAATAATAATTTTTATTTCAGATTACAGAAGATTATTTTGGCTGCTTTGATAAAACAATAACCCCTTCAAACCGTTCTACAAATCTCACAAAAAAATAGCAGCGGTTCATCGAGGTTTGAAACATAATTTTATAGAGAAAAATTCACCTATAGCTTCCACACGCAACAGCGTGCAAATCCTCACTCAAGCTCTTTGCAGCATCCTTCACCCTTTCCTCAAGCTTTGCTACTTCTGTTCTCGGCACTCGCTCCTCAAACTCGTCCACATACCTCANTGGACTCTCACTACAACGAAATTCAAGGGACCAGAAAAAAATATGTTCTGGACAGAATTTCGTTGTTGGGAACCACTACAGCTGTAGAGAGTCCACCTGTATACTGTACATAAATATTTCCGAAGCTCTGTCATTGCTAAGATTTTCAACAAAATACCGTAATATAATTCAACGCCTATTTAACCTAAACTACATGCGCAAGTCATAAATGCGATTACCTAGATTAATCAATCCTCTCATAACACAAACAAATGTTCATAATATAAGATATGGTTTTTGAATATGAACACACAAAAGCACTATCACGGCAATTTCAGCAAAGAAAGAACCTCAAATATGACTGAACTTGAGACCTTCGGACCGACCTAAGGAAATGCGGCACAAAGCCAGCGACATCTACGTATGGGCAAAAGAAATCAAGTCGTTCACGACGTCGCATAGAATCAGGAAAACTCACCACTCCGATCAAATGGACGCAAAGAATACTCGTTCAAAGTATATCCCATTTCCAATGCTCTGGCCCTCATCCGTGAATTAAAAATATCACTGCCGGTGAAGTACAACTTGGCGCAGTGAAACTCGTTGTCAGGGAAAAATCTGACGTCAATGCGACGCGGTTTAGAGCTCTTGTCCAACTTGCACACGCCCATAAATTTCGAGGGGCCTAGAGTGATGCAATCAGTCACGAAACCGATTGATTCCAGGGAGTGAACAAAGTTCTTGAGGATTTCCGCCCGAACTTCTTTCGGAGATTCAGTGTCCACGCCTGTCTTCGTGAGGAGAATGTCGATGTCTCCACTCGAATCTGCTCCACGTCTGGAAATAATGATGTAGAATCAGGTAAATTTAATCAATCGGGTTGAATTCAGCCTTATTTTACAGGATTATCAATACTGCTCTTTGTCGGAGTGATTTTGACAGTCTCGTCATAGAAGCAATAATCCGATAGTAAAAGTCAAACCCAGTTGATTCGCAACCCGCCACCACCAAATTAATAAAAAATAATAATTTTCTCAATAACAATATCGGAAATCCCGCTAAAACGCCATGCGCCAAAATTATTGAACACTCAAATTATCAAATATGCTCCTGCCAATAAATTCCGATACCCAACAAAAATTATTCAAATTTCTGTGAGAGGTCTACAATTTAAAAATAACACTCACAATGATGACACAATTTACTTCTTGGGGACATAAACTAGATATAATTTACATATCACAGGGTTATTTTGATTGTTTTCTAAAAGAATAATAATTTTTATTTCAGATTACAGAAGATTATTTTGGCTGCTTTGATAAAACAATAACCCCTTCAAACCGCTCTACAAATCTAAAAAAAAAATAGTTGCGGTTCATCGAGGTTTGAAGCATAATTTTAAAGAAAACAATTCACCTATAGCTTCCACACGCAACAGCGTGCAAATCCTCACTCAAGCTCTTTGCAGCATCCTTCACCCTTTCCTCAAGCTTTGCTACTTCTGTTCTCGGCACTCGCTCCTCAAACTCGTCCACATACCTCAAGCGAAATTCATCGAAGTTTAAAAGCGTGTCTCTTGAATGAAAAAATGAAACATAAATTCACAGGATTTACTTGAGACCAATGCGTTGCTGGTGAGTCAAACTGGCTTCACGAGCTCTCAAATCATCCAACGTCCTGACGCCTTTATCGAAAAACTCCTTGGCTTTCGCAGGTCCGATCCCCATGACTCGCGTCAAGGTTTTCAACGCGATATTCGTCTCATCTTTGCTAATCTGAAATCATATGGCACAATAATTTAATAATTATAATAAATAATAATTAATAATAATTTTGATAAAGATTTTTTTTTTTATATACGACCAACGAACATCGTCAAGCTTCCGCAGTTTCCCCGTGGACAGGAATTCGTCGATTTTCTCTCCGATCTTCTTGCCGATTCCCGGAAGGGCTTTCGCCTCGTCTCCAGATTTCAGTCGAGTCGGCAATAATGCGATTTCCGCAACCGCTTTCCGGTATGCCTTCGCCTTGTGGATATTTCTGCTAACGTTCTTCTCATATTCGGAAAGCTCTGAAAAAAGAAATCATCCCTAATGAACAGATGGGAACATTTTTAAAATGGAACAACCGCAGGAGATTTTTTTTTACACGGTGTCCCATAAATTACTGCTTATCAATTTTTAAATTCATTTATACGTTTCAAACGAAGCGCACGTAAGCGTACTTTACATTTATACAGCTGAAGAATTACGCCCAAAAATTATCCAAGAACTACTTCAAGCAGGAAACCACAACAAATCAGTGCTTCCATACTCAGAAAAATTCCACCAAGAACCCCGTCAACCCATTTTTTCTGAAACGAGAGAAATTTAGAAGAAAATGAACCTTAGAATGGAAGAATTAAATACAAATTGAAGTGTGCCTTTTCGTAAGGTCTATCTACATTTGAGCTATACAAAATTACCAAGGACGAAGTAAGATAATTTCACTTGGAACCTAATTGATTTGGGCTGATGACTGAATGATTCTTCAGGGAGTCAAAAATCACGAATTTACGGAAGATAATCTTCGAAACTCAAAAACAGCTAACAGTGATAAATTCTCCAAAAACTCTTAATATCCGAAATAGAAAATTAAATGGACAACCATATTCTCTAGCAAATCCAACATCTTCGCGATGTGTTTTCTGAAGAGGACTCATCGTCTTTCGAGCCCAACATTGGGATATAGTACTGTACATGCAAATGCTAATTGACGCACGTCCATTTCAGGTTCCGCAGTGACTGAATATTTTTTTTTAAGCACGCAATATTTTGAAAGCCCTGTACCTGTTGAAGATGCGAAATCACCAAAAAAGTAAATATCTCACCCTGGAGCATATTCATGATGTCTCCATTGACATCTTTACCAGCAGATTCCGCGGGCGCTTTCCTCTTACTCATCCCTCAACGAATTTCAATCGATCAATAAAAAAAAAGATATACATGTTCTACAAAATTTCATACGCATAAAAATCTTTCGAAAAAAAAATGAAGGAAATATGCCGACAGATTTTTCTCGTACATTCAGCACGACTCGGAATTAATCTGCAATTGAATCAACCACCAGTGAGTGAAGAACCGCAAAAAAATGCCCCTCTGGGTTACAGATCCATTCCGGCAACAACAAAAATAAATCACATCAGGAAAAGTACCGCAATTTTTGACCAAGCAGATTGGTTAGGATTGATTTTCATGGGAAGCAGATGGCTGACACAGGTTATCAAGAAAAGAAGCACGAAGCCTTCGGAGTTCTTCGGCAGACGTGGGTTTTTGTTCGGGTTGAGGTTTAACAATGGGTTCTTCTTGTTCGGATGAGGACGAGGCGACTGGAGTTGGGTTCGGAGTTGAAACACTCACGCCGTCACCTAAAAATGACAAAGTCATTGCAAATCAACGGGATGCAGATGATCAATGCAAGCACGAAAGTTTTATAAAATTCCCCAAGTAATTACATTTTTTTGCTGAATAACTTCAGCTTTTCTCCTTGAACGCGAGAAGCTTCCTAATTCCTCAAATTTTTCTGACATTGCGGTGTTTGCGTAACAGCCTTTTAGCTATTATTTTATTGATACACAAAAAAGAAAAAAAAGTGAAAATGTAACTTGAAAGGAAGTGAAAGACTAATCGGGCAAATGAACCCTTGCCTCAAAATTTAGTAGTGTGTCAACCAATATAAAATGCAATTTTAAGGCAAAAAATACTGTATCACCATTGAAATTTTTGTAATTTTTCTTTCTATTCTCGAATACAAAGAAACAAATGCCGAATAAAAAAGCTATTTCCCCAACTCGAATTTTTTGTGGGTATCTCTGAGTTCGACTATAATTCTGTTGAGATACACGATCTTCAAGAGATTCGCTTGGGCAGGAAAACCTCGTTGATGATCTCGTTCAGACTATTTTACTTCACTTGAAAACAGTTTCAAATGCTGCAGTGAAAAAAAAAAATTGTCAATGAACACAACTGTGCTGTTCAACTCTTACTTCAAACGTATTTGTTCACAAAAAGATTGTAAAAAGACGAGAAAGGCAATCGAATTTTACGAATCATCTATTATTTTGTCATCGCTGAAAGAGTACGGTAAGGTACGGTACGGTACAGTACTTACACATACTCGGGGCCACAGGGATTTCAGTTTCCTCAGCTATGCCGCTATGCGCTCTACTTAGAGCTAAAGCTCTCCTGAGTTCTTCATCTTCGTCAGGCACTTGGTACGTGGCAGATGTCCCCTGAGCAGCTAATAATCGAAAAATAAAAATTTTAGGAAAACAATTCGCCAACAAACATTGAATATAGTACTCGAATATAATTCGAAAGTTCGTAATTAATTAGAGGAACACTTTCGTAATTCTTCCGCACCTATTGAAGCAGAAAATCACGAGGAGCAACAGTTCAGAAAGAAAAGTTGATGTTTTAGTCAAAGCACTTCATCAAATCCCGAATAAAAAAAATTACGGTAACTCCATCGACCGAGTATGTACAGCTGATTAGATTGGCTGATGTCTATCCCAGAATTTAAGAATCGCACGGCCTCAAACTTCAACTTTTCGATTTTCAAGCTTTTTCCCCATTTCGAGCTCGAAATTGCCACAAAAAAATCATGCAATCTACCAATCATCAGTAACCACTCGAGATTATTGACGATTTACAATAGAAGCGTACCTGGGGAAGGTTTGGGCATATCTAAAAAAAAACTTCAGATGCATTGAGATCTTGGAGGAAATCATGAAAATAATCTGATCACACACGCTAGTTATGCACTGGTGGCCGATTTTTTCCACATCATCTATGACTGTAAACAAGGTGTGTCGGAAAATAAATTTAAAACGCAGGAATTTTTCAAACAATTTTTGGGAATTTATATGTACTTTACGGTCGTCCTTGTGTTTTAAAAGCAGTTAGAAACGGAAGGAAAATGGGCAATCGCGTGAAAATCATTTAAGACTCGGTTAAAATTAGTAAAGCAAAAAAAAAGTGGTTACAAATTAGTTAGTTCCTTCAATGATCACTGTAACGTGACGGCCGAATACTGTACTGTTCAAATATTCGCAGTACAAATTCCGTACCAAAAACTACAGTACAGTACTTACAAACAAATTTGCTCAAGGCGATGGCAATTTGCGTTTCTTCATCTAAATCATTCTCAAGACTCAGAGCTAAAGCCTTTTTCAGGTCCTCGTCTTCAACAGGCACTTGACGGGTTCTCGTGGACGGGATGGAAATCCTAGGGGTGGCCGGGTTCAGAACCAGAAAAGCGTCCGCCTCACAATCCGGCAAGTTTCCGACGACGATAAAAATTGAGTGTCCTGCAATGAACAGATTTCAATCATATGTGAGTTACAGAAATACTGTAATTTTACAGCTTTCCATAATTTGATTTCTGGCGCGTTTCGACATGGAATTCACGCGAAAATATTTTACATACGATGTCAAAATGTAAATAAAATCTCCAAGCAACCAGAGCAAGACAAACGTATTTAATGATTTATTGGCGCAGGAAAATGCAGTAATTTTGTTAAAATTTGAAACTTCGCTGAAATCGTGTTTCTTTGAGGAAGATAATAACATTTGTTCGGATCTGCCGTCATGTGACATTCGGAACCCGAAATACGATTCATCACATTTTCGTGGAACAATGTAACTCGTTAATTAATCTGCTGGGCTTATACTTCCACGAAAGTACCTCACATTAATTTTGCTATTTTAACATCTCATTTTACAGCACACGCTTCTTCAAGAAATACAAGACGATTTTCCCTAATGAAAATCCAAGAAGAAAGACAAATTTAGAGGGATTTTGGACAAATGTGTTACCTTCATCAGTGATTTGCTGCAGGAAGATTTCCAAGTAAGTATCAGAAATCAAGTCTGGGCCCGACAACGTCGAATTCAGATTAAACCACTGCAATCCAATTTTCCGCAGTGTGTACCAGTGATCATGATAGTTGCAGATGTAGGCTCTCTCTCCGCTGCAAAATTTCGAAAAAAATTGCACATCATTAATATGAAATTTACTATCGTTAATCCAAAGGCTGAACCATTCATATGCAACTCAAATCGAAAAAGGAGACAGGTAGACCGCTTCAGAAATATCAAACTTTTGAACAGGAAATGTTGTGTCATTTATTATTAATTTTTATTCAATTTCACCAGGCGCATAAAACATCTTCCAATTAAAATTGTTGAAAAATTTTTAATTGCAATGACCAGGCGGATTTTTTTTTTAATTCGTCAGTGATCCATAACAATGAAGAACACACATGCATTTGAATTTCCGTTGGCTTATTTTGACAAAAACCGAAATAAAATTAAGTTAAAACTGAATGTCCTTTTCACTCGAAGGATGTTGCTGAAATTATTTCTAATTTTAAAAATAAAGATTTGAATTGGCCTTCTCTAACTTGAGGGAAAAAATATAAAATTAGGAAAACTTCAATCTCGCACAGGAAGTCGCTGGAATAATTTCAAATTTGAAACACATACATTTGAATTTGCTTTTTCTACTTTTGACAGAAGTCAAAACGAGATAAAATTTAAAAGCAATATTCAATACCCTTTCCATCGAACGGTAATAGCTGAAATACTGTAGTATCAAATTCGAAACACATAATTTGCATTTGCCTTCCCTAATTTGCCAAAATAGAACATGAAGAAAAATTTAAACTTAACATCCATTTCACCGATTGGAAGTTCTTGAATCAATTTAAAATTTGAGACACATAAAAAGTACAACATAAACTCAACACTATTTTTATCGACTGGAAGTTGCTACAATAATTTCAAATGCGAGACAAAAAGGTGTTCCATCACTGCTTCATAAAAAAAAAGTGAGATATTTTATCGATCAAACCAGGAATTGAATCAGAAAATCTATTCCACACTCACGCGGGTTGCCTTCTCGCAGCTTCGGCACGCGCATTACTAGCCTTAAAGGGCACCAGACTGAGGTCGTAAACCTCCAAAGCCTTCTCAATCACTTGAATGCTGAAATACCCAGAATCGTCCACATTCCCAGAGGGCTCAGTCACGAACCTCCGGTAATCGTCACTTTCCCCGGCTTCTCGCATGAAACTACGCTCCATGTCATCCAAATTCCTCGCGACTTCCGCCAAATCCATCGCAGTGAATTTCCGCTCCTGCAGCAACGCATTCAGACAATGCTGAGCACACAACTGACCTACTTGCTAGCATTTAAGAAACGAAAAAAAAAAGATAAGGAAAATGATTTTCATCACGTCAGACACAAGCTGAAAACTTCCACTCACCTTCTCGTGAAAAATGTGCTCCATATTATTCCACGGAAAACGAAACAAAACGCAAAAATGAAACGAACTGCACCTTTCTTTGGGGGGAAAAAACGGAAAAAATCGTAAAACGCGTTTCGTAAATCTCAAAAATCAGATATTGAATCAAAAACAAGTCGTCGTGATTTTCTCTTGTTTTGATACTCTTATTTTCCGCGTTCATAAAGCACTTTTTTTCTCCCGAGAAAACGCGCGCATACAAATTTTCTTTTCTTTACAACCTTTTAAAATATCTCCATTTCTCAGATCTGTTCCAAATTCTACTGGCGAAAAACCATCTTCCCTTGAAGGAAAATGAATATGCAAGGATGTTCATCCCTGAGCAAAAAAAAAAAAAAAAAAACGCTTTTAATTTAAAGCCCGATCCTACTTAAAGTAAAGTAGGCGCCTCCCGAATAAACCAGCTCACTGAACGGAAACCTAATCAAATTCGCATTGATTTCCATGACCTACAGGATATTTTCCGAACCCATACGACATAATCTAACCAAATCCTGGATCTCATTAAGTTCAAGAAGATTCGGGCGACACCTATGAGTCAAATCTCTATTAGTCAAACTTCAATAATCCAGAAGAAAAATCCGGGTTATGGAGGTTTAAAGTTGGAGAAACAAGCATTTGTGTTAAGGGAAAGAAAGAAGAATTGCAGAAAATTGTAATCGGTGATATTCTAGACCTCAGATTACTTCTTACATGAGTTGGCAAGATGCTGAACTCAGAGGCATGGTTTTTTTCGCAAAATTATTCTTTCACTTCCTTTCAAAACACATGAAGTTACGCTTTTAATGCATTTCTCTTTCCTGCGTCAAGAAAATAGCCAAAAGGATTCAGAAAATTCGAGCTCCGGACGGTCGAGATGAGAGGAAAAGCCTTCGAGTTAGGGAGGTTTTTAATACATTTTTTCTCAGGGAATTCAGTCAAGGGCTTTAAAAAAAACGATACGGGGTATCATTCGACTTTGAGGTTCAAATGTATCAGCAAAAAAAAATCGCAAATCAAAAGTTCGGGACATCAGGCGTTGAAGCGAAAAAAAAAATACTAACGATCCAACATGAGACATAAAAAGAAATACTGTCAGCTTCACATCCGCTCTAGCAGCAAGTACAACAAGTGAGTCAAAGGAAGTACGTCCTCTGGTCCCTCCATCACATCTTAACACACAGAAAATGAGCGGAATGTCTTCGTTTCTTCTTCTTCTTTTTTTTTTTTTTTTGCAACACTTGTAACGATACGGTCTTCGTTAAAAAAAAAAAAAAAGTCACACTCTCAAAGATGAGGTTTTCACGAGATTCTCAACAAAATTAGACAAGTCAATAGATGAGCTTCACACTTCATTGAACAATGAAAGCTGATGCTGATAAATAGATCAATAAAATATTCCTACTATCCAATGTAAAACTGGCTCCTACATAAACCCTCCCAATTTCTCCGGAAAACACCAGAGAAAACGGGAGACACAGGGGAAAAAGTTGTTCCTCCTCCATCGCGGAAAAATGTCACCATAAAACACAGGTCTGAAGCCAGAAAAAGAAAAATGACTTGATCTCAGCACACCTTCATAAATAACGTGCCCTCGAAACCATGGCATGGAGTCATAGGAAATTTCGTTCGTTCCTATTTCGAGGAAAAAGCTGCCTAGTGATTCTTACAAACTCCCAACACTGTAACAAATCGTAAGAAGATCCGCAGGAATTAAAAAAAGGTGTCTGATCCAGGATCAACCTGCCTTTCGCGAACTTCAGCAACGCTCGTAAAATACCTTCAAAAAATATCTTTGGAAGACTCGCGTCATTACGTATACCCAAACGAACAAAAATAACGATGCATTCAAAAAAAAAAATGACACTCCTCACAAAGCCACGTCGCGATACTGCTTCACATCGTCGCTCTCCGCACTCTGGCCCATGCTGCTCATGCTCCCGTGGTTCCTATACATCTCGAAGTCGTCTCTCCGACCGCCGCCGCCACCGCTGCCTCGTCGAACGTGCAGCCCGTCCATGGACGCCGATCGTTGCCGGGACTTGGAAAACAAGCGTCTGTCCAGGCTTTGCGTCGAGTACGGGGCAAGGTGATGCGGGCGACCTCTAGGGGGAAATTCTGCGGCTTCGTCGTAGACGGACACGGCGAGGCCGAGGACCGAGTGTGAGCGAGGAGGAATTGTGGCTGATTGAAAGTAGCCATTGAACATGGACGCATTGAATTCGCTGTGCATGGAGCGTTCGTGGTATTGCTGCTGGTGGTACATTGCCATGGACGAAAATGCTCCCGGACGGAGGTCTTGTTGGGAAAATGAGGCTCCTCGTCCAAATGCTCTGTAATTAAACGTAAAAACGGCCGTAGATCCACAGATTATACAGTTTGGTGAAATCTCACTACAACAAACTTTTGGGGACTTCATAAAATGTTTGCTATATGACTTGAAGACAATTTTCACTTCAAACCTGTCTATGATCAATAAGATCTTGCTTCTCTGGCATTCTCAGATTTTTCATTGTTCTTTTAAAAGGTAAGTGATCTCCTGAAAGAACAAATAGCTTCAATTTTCCATTCCATCACTTGGAAGCGTGTCATTGATTACAGCTTCCATCCATGCTGAAAGAATCCCTGTCATATTAGGGATGGGAGATATCAGACTGTTCCTGCCTCAGTTAGCAGCATTTATTAAACATTCCTCAAAAAAGTTTGTTGTACTGTACTAGAATTCGGAAGTTTGTTATACCAAGATTGTTTTGAAGTTTATTTCATGGGCTTCCTGCTGGGACTTGTGAAAAAGTTTGTTCTAATGAAAAATTAGTCGTAACTGTATTTGTTGTAACAAGGTTTTAATTTTGTTCTCAATCATATACAGATACTGTACATGAATGAATGAACAGAACACTTTATTTTCCGCNAATCATATACAGATACTGTACATGAATGAATGAACAGAACACTTTATTTGCCGCTTTTCAGCGTTCACAAGGTTCAATCAAAATTTCCACAACAAAAACCCCTTCCCACCCAACCCAAATCCACTCAATGACATTTTAATCACTTCATAGCAGGAAAGCACAAATTGATAACAAAAATGAAAGAAAATACAATACAACATGAAATACAACTGGACAGCTGGCATGCATGCATACACCCATTCATTCATACACCCATTACTGGATATCAATTACTGCAGAGTGGGTCCCCGTATACAGTACCAAAATTAATCTGTTCCTGAGTAAGTTTCCTTATGCGATACGTTAATTCCCATACGGTTACCTTTTAAATATAATTCGTTCCAGTTACGTACCAAAAGACATCTTAAAATCTGTGTATTTTTCTAGTGTTCGGACTAAAATTGTGAATATTAAATTGAGAAAATTAAATTTCACTAATCTTGGCATGTTTAAGCTCTGAAATTTCTGAATTTCGCCAATTTTATTGACAAGACGCAAAACAACGCCCTTCGTAAGTAGCTTTCCTCGTTTTTCAAAATTCCTAACTTTTAGCGCAAAACTTGTATAAATTCAAGCGTTCTTTGGCCCATAAAAAGGCTTTATGTTATACAACTTCGTTCCGCGAGTTTTTCCTCATCCCCTTCGAAAATTTTCGTAATGCGGTTTTTTTTTTTTAGCGCAGCTCTTTCTTTATATGGGGGCCGACAGCACATTACTGTATAAGGAGGATCCGATTGAACGCAGAAATGGCGTGTTCGAACGAGGAAACAATGAAACTCACCTTGGAATTTTAGGAATACCAGCTTCAACAAGCATACCACCGTTCATCTGATCCACCGAAGAGTAATAGCCATGATTCGTGCTGCC